TGGGGTTGTTGTTTTCGCGCTAATTGCTTTCATTTTCAAATCGCATTATGCGCCGACAGAGCCTAAAAGCGCGCAATACGGTAGACAGTGACGTCGAAAGTACGACAGCATCTAGGCACAGGAGGTACAAACTTCGTCAATATCACTGTCTGCGTAACGACAGGAATAAATAAAATTCGCAGCTCTCTCTGAAAATTTTACGTTGCTTTCTTTTGCCGTACGACGTAAGAGATTACAAAAAAAAAAAATTTCTCGCGCGGCGTAGTGCTTGTCGCTTTCCAAATGCCCGCGAATTTCGTACATAGAGGCACTACCTGTGTCTCTTGATGACAGAGACAGTTTTCAATATATAATCGAAAAATTGTTATTGAAGTCTCTCTTCTGTTTTTTTTTTTTTTTTTTCTATAACACAAACGTTCACGCTTCGGAAATTATTTCTCGAATTCCATTCCATCGAGCGCATTCCGAGAGAGAGAGACAAATTTTGCTCCACCCGAGAACGTTCCGTGCTCGACGACGGGATCCCCCAGTTCCAATTTTGGAATGGACACGAAATTCCGCGCGCGGCTTTTTTTTTTTTTTTTTTTTTATTTATCTCCCCGACATCCCGTCTAAAAGCGCTCGCGCGCGCGTGCTCCTTCGCGAACAAAGAATCGTATTTTTAACCGCTTCTCGTTACTGCACCTTGAGCACCGGGGCGGCGCTGCTCTCTCGTCGAAATTTCCTCGTTACCCGAGCTTTATGTCGCGGACGTTAAAGAGAAATATGAACGGCTTAAGAGCTCCCGTTAGGTACACGCCCGAAGGAAAATGAGCGGAGGGCGGTACAATACGACGGGCGCGATTCTGCAACGATGAGCTTGTGTCTCGTAATTCGGCGATGTAATCTGTTCGACACGTGGAAAATATTCCGCAATAGATTTCATAGTTTAAAACTCGTTCATCAGGATTTTTATTCAGTGGTAAAACCCACTCTAAATTTAAAGAAAAAATAGTTTTTGAGAGTAAAGTACTCCACAAAATTCTACACAAATGCGTTACAACTGGCTATAATAACATCACAGTTCTTTTTCTCTCTTTTTTTTTCTCTTTCTGTGGCGAGAAAATGTAATAAAAAAACTGACATATAATTTTAAATTGCGTTATAAATTGTTTTTAAATTTATTTATCACATAAATAAGGATAAATAAAATCGCGTCACATTAAAGTAAAATATTGTTATGACTTGTGACAAAATAACCGTTTCATCCGCCACGATAAAATATTGTTGAGTTTACGGGCGGAGATTGGCTTTAGAAAACATGTATTACGAAGATATTAAAAAAAAAAAACCGCACGTACTTTTAGGCGCGACGAATTTCCGAATTCGCGATTGGCGTCCTGCGGTGCGGAACACGCGGGCACGAAAAAGTAACCGAAAAAAAAAAAAATAAAAAATAAAGAAAGAAACGAAACGTCAATTGACGTGTGAGAAATAAAAGGGAATCGAAAATGCGTGCTGTGCTTCGTCACGACATCCTGTGAGACATACCGGCGCCAACATGAATATTTGCGAATATTTGCGTGACTCATTGACACGAAGTTATATAAAATTTGCACTGACGCACAGTTCAAAGTTTGAAAAAAATAATGGTGAACAAGCTCTTCAAAAACGCGTTGAAAACTTTGTTTACAACGGCAACGCTAATCCGATTTTGTAACAATAGTTTTTGTGAAATTGATCGATCACGCATTAACTACTTAATACGATCGGTCATAGTTTCGCGAGAACGATTATTAAATTGTTATTTAAATCAGATTAGCGTTGCCGTGTAAACACAGACTTTGTCATCTCGCTGACTTTACGCTCTGGATATACAACTCAATTGTCTTAACTCATTTCTTTATTACAAGAGAGGTGTCACAGATCAATGGAGAAAGCCCGCCCTTCTCGGTACGTGACCCCACGATCGTGACAAAATGCAGATTCGTGAACACGATTTCTTCGCAAGTGTCTTACAAGCTCAAAGAGCAAGGGTGCTCTCGTCCCTCCCAGCTCGTTTGTCGCTGTACGCGAGCTAAAGAGGGCGTCTACTCCGTAGTAAAATCACGTTGCCGAAAGTTTCTGTTTCTTATTCTTACCATAAAAAAAACTAGAGAGAGAAAGAGAGAAGATTGCTTGTAACAGGAGAACAACAAACGGGGAATATAACAAACCTGCGAGAACAAGCCAAGTTCTCGAATTGCTGCGGCACATTATTTTCTTTCGAAGATCGGATATCAAAAACACGTGCAACAAAATTAAAATCCAAATATTAAGAAAGATATAAAAAAAAAAATCGCGCGACATTTCCTTTGTAAGTTTTGAAATCCTACTCGAACGACGCGAAAGGAAAGCGTACTTTTGTAGTGGTGTGTGTATCTTTTGTTTTGTGTTTTTGCAGATGCAGAAAAAGAGAGAGACAGAGAGAAACGGAAAAGGTACGTCAAGTAGCCAAAGGCAAGGCTGACAAATGGCAAAGATTTAACTGCCGGCGTACGAACATTTTTCATCGCCGAGAAAAGGGCGGCGAGCGCGCTTGCTGCGTTAAGTAATTGCATCCCGGGCGTTTGCTGAAGGCGAAGAATTCAGATGACCCAAGACGGTCAGATGAGAATGAAACAAAGCATGAGAGGCGCGGAACTCCCGATTTGCAGAAGCAATCTGCGAGAAACCTGTTATCGAGTTTTTCATGGAAATATCGAGAAAACCGCGACCCCAACTTTTCCGAAGATAACGCTCGCACAGCATAACGTTCATTAGACGTCTAACGAACGTCCATAACGTCTAATGAACATCTAATAGAAATTTGTATAGAATGTTGTTCCGTGTGGATTTCCGCCGTAAGTACTTGTCGTTAAGATCGCGAGGTACTCGCTCTGTTTGTTAAAGCGCACTGTAAAAAAAATAACAATTCGCAAGTAACTGCGTTTGCAAAAAAAAGTTAAAATGATGATGCTTACTTCTCAAGTAAATCTATCCAACTGTACTCTCTCTCTCTCTCTCTCTCTCTCTTTCTCTCTACGGGGAGTAATTTGTTTGTCCGCAATGTTGTTCGCGGATCCGCGAAGTCGCGGAATCGCAATCAAGCAGAAAGCAGCGAGACAAAATCGTTTTTTGCTTTATGGCGTATCTTCAGTTAGCCGCCGCCGTTTAGATCCCACATAGAGTGAGAAACATTGAAGAAAATAACGATAGCCCCGATCGTCATCCATTTCTCATAGTTTCGACCGAGAGCGAGAAAGTTCGTAATGGCCGTGCGCGATCTCCGTCTCGCCCGAGAAAATGGTCGTGGCGGAAGATAACAGCCAAACACAGGCAGAAGCGAGAGAAGAAAACGAGCGGTTCAGACCGCGATACGGTAATACGAATTTCGTAAGGGAGCATTAACTTTCGCAATAAACGTTGCGAAGAAATTAACGGTAAAGCGCGAGAAACTCCTCGCCGCGGATGGAAACTATTAAACCGCGTCGTGATATCGCACAACTTGAACGGTACTGATCGTGCAATTTGTTTCTTACAAAACGGAGACCGTGTATATAATCCCTTTATTAGAAGATAGAGATCGCGGATTATCATTCTCGAATCTTTCGAAATGTTGATATAATTTATTTTTCTCAGGGATCTTTTAAAAAACCTTCGGATGTGATACGAAGATGTCGAGCATGTTTTTTGAAAGTAAATATTGCATATATAAGCACAAGCGTGCGTGCGTGCTTAATTATAATCACGCGAGTTAATGTTGTAAATTAAATAAAAATTGCGCGAATTCGAATTTTTCAATCTAAGTTCTCTGTGTGCATTACACGAGAACGTAATATTTTTCTCTTCGCGCAAACTTCGTTGCTAAATTATTACATAGTCTTAATAAACAAATGATTATTTTACTCTAATGATTATTATTATGATTATTTTATATATTATATATTTTTGTGACGCTTGAGAAAACACGCTATTACAGCGCTATTACAAGCCGTAATTAAATATCCAGTTCTATAATTTCTTACAACTCGCTCAGTGCGTGCGGAACAAATATTAGCAAACGAGGGATTTGTACCAAATCTAAAAGAGCAGTTATGAATTTCGCTACATTTCTTTGAAGGAAGGTACCGAAAGTCGCGCAGAATTTAATACCGTTGAGGGGAAGTTGACAGACGTGGCAAAGGAGCCATATACCGCGTTCGCGAATATATACCGCAGACGTTTTCCCATCTTAACAAGCAGTCTGCTAATACATTTTCTCGAGCTGTCATTTGCTACGTATCAAGCAAGTATGAGCTTTCCGCGCGTTTGTGCCGGAACTCCTCGTCGTTTGAGATCAAAGTGAATACATCACACGTCTCTGTCTTCTCTCTCTCTCTCTCTCTTTCGTTTTCTATATTTTCTCTCACGCGCGTTCTATATATGTAAGTGTAATACACACATACACTCACACACACAATCTTTCTCTTTCGAGACAATAAGTGGAGAAATTCGCAGCCATCGTCGTTACATTCATTTTGTCGGATATTTTGATTAAAGTATACACTTACAGGAATTCACACACAGTTTATATATCTGATATAAAATTCTTTGTTAATAACTTTATTATTCACAAAGATATTTATTTTACATAGAACATGCACAAAAAGCAAACAAAACAACTTATCTCTTTTTGTGTGTTTTTTTCTTCACATTTAACAAGACAAGATACCAAGAGATTGTTCTCGAATAATTTCATAGAAAGAGATATAGTCGCTCGTTATTCGCGATAATCTTTCTGCTGATAAGAGATCGGGATTTACCCAAGATAAACCTTATTTCTTTGTATTCTATTGTTACGAAGATATCGGCGAGTTTACGAAGAAATAATGTTCTTGCACTTAAAGTAAAACTCACACACAAACAAAATTTTAATCAATATGTCAAAGAGAACAAAAATTTTAAATCACGTGTTGGATTTAGAGCGCTAGACCGAGTGGTGAGCAAGAGAAAAACACAAGTACAATTAGAGTAAACTTTTTATTTTGTTTTTACTTTTTTCTTTTGTTTTTTGAAGAACAATTAACTCTCTGAGTATCGAACAAAAAGAAATTAAACTAGAGTGTGCAGCAGCTTTACGATCTCTCAATTCCTTACGACGACTTTATAAAAAAACAATAAAAATAAACGGCCTGTAAATATTGTTGGTGTTTTCTTTTTCTTTAAACTTCCAATAAAGTGTTTGTGTGTACATCCAGTAAGAATTGAACACGCCATTGTGTACTTTCAGCACTTGTTGTAAACGCAAGATTACAAATTAGAGTTCATAAATTGCAACGTTTGTGTGTACTCCTTAATCCGTAAAAAATCGTCGTTGTTTCGAGATCGATCACGTCAAACACGCGTATCACTGTGCCAACAGAGAATCGTGTCTTCAAGAATCGCAATCATAAAAAAGAAAAACATCAGTATCATAAAGGTTGACACTTTCTGTTCGTTACTGTGATTTTTGTCGTTATACCTTTGCACTATCACAACACTTTCCGTCTGCGTTATCCAATCCAGGTAATGAAAAACGTCCGTGTACACGCCGGGAAGTCCCGGAAGCGCGCAACCCTCGCCACCAGAAACGATTCCGGTCAAAACGTTGTTGCAGACCATACCGCCGCCGGAATCACCCTGATAGATTTGAAAAATTGATAACACAGCAATATACAAAAACAGTACACAAATCGTGTGATATAAAGTATGAAATATAATGCGCATTACTTGACAGGCATCGCGACCGCCCTCGATATAACCGGCGCAATACATGCCCTCCGGTAGATCTGTGACGTTTATAAGCAGTTCGCGACATTGTTTTGTTGATAAAACGGGCAAGTCCACGTACATCAGATCGTTAGACACTATCGGGATATTCTGAAATAATCGCACACGCGTGTAGACACAAACGCGTTATACAGTGTTTTTAGAGTTGTAGCGAACACTAATGGTGTTTCGTTTCATTCGATACTTACACTGTCCAGGTAACCCCATCCAGACACTTGGCATACGGTCTTAGGTACAGGAGAATTGCTAGGTAAAGAAGCACTTCTTAGTTCGGGAGTGAATTTGAAAGCTCCCGACAACTGCGGCAAAACAAACGCATGTGCGCAACAGTATTACACGTTCGTCAAATGAAAATCAACATTGTGTTCACATTAACAAATTAGTTTGTAAAATCAAAAAAAAAAAAAAACCGATAAAAAGATAGAGAGAAGACAATAACACCTGATGCTCGAGTAAAATTTTTCTTTAATCCGAGAATTTAAAAAAAGATACAAACGTTTCGATCCTGTGAGATCTTCTTCAGTGTTTCTACATAAAAAAAAAAACAATTACAAAGAATGCATGATTTATTCGCGACGATAATGAAGAATATCGAAAAGATAAGTCGGTCGGTTGTATTCGGAAACGGGAGGACGTTTTGCGTCATCTTGCGCAATACTGACGGGGTTACTTAGTTGCCACTTCTCTCTCTCTCTTTCTCATTTTTCTGAGTATGTTTGAAGCGTATCTTTTCTGTATCCATAGTCTCTTCATTATCGTCGCGAATAAATCATGCATTCTTTATAATTTTTTTATGTAGAAACACTGAAGAAGATCCCATAGTGGATCGAAACGTTTGTATCTTTTTTTTTAAATTCTCGGATTAAGGAAAAATTTTACCCGTACATCGGGTGTAGTTCGTTATTGCCTTCTCCCTATCTCTTTACTCAAACATACAACGAGCACGAAACATATAATTAAAAAAACAAATGATAAAACTTTAAAAACATACTCGCAAAATGGCAACGTCATTGTATAAAGTGGTGATGTCAAAGTCGGGATGAATTCTGATGCTGTCCACACCCTTTTCCTGTTTCGTCGAAACATTCTCTTCCAATTTTATCACTCCTCCAACCACAATGATTGACCACGGTTGAATAACGGCTCCGCGACTGCGTAATTAATTTCTTCGTTTATGTCAATAGTCGCAGATTAACTGCGTGTAACTCTTTGCAATGTGTTTTCCCGTAAACGTGGAAATAAAAAACAAAACGTTATTGATTTATTGGCGTTTTGCAAATCAAATAATTTTGCCGCAGAAATGACGCGTATTTATTAATGTAGCAAAATAAAATATTAGACCAATAATTGTACGCAATTTATGCACAAATAAAATGTTTCGTTTTAGAAAATTATAAAACGAAATATAATAATTTCAACACAATACTCTATGATTGCGATAAGAATGTCTGATCGCAATGATGCTTCAACTTACCTGTACATACAATGAGCTGCGGTAAGGACTAGATTGGTGCTAATAATACTTCCACCGCAAAAGTGATTTCCAGACCAGCTGCGTTGAAGAGACACCTGAGAAGAAAAAACGCACACAAACAAATTAACGCGCATGCAGAAATGTGCGTTATGTGTTATTATAAATATTACCTGATGTGGGAATTGTCGCAAAGCGGCTCTTGATCCATTAACTATACGGCCAGTCAAACGATAATTTGCCCACTCCATTTGAGGGAGAACAGAAACATTTGTCAACGATCCTAATGCATCCGAATTATTATTATTATTATTATTGGCATTACCACTGAGCACGTTACATTATGCTGTCGCGCGAAATAAAATCTAAATTATTACACAATGACAAAGGAATTTATGGACCGTAACACAAGTAACAATAATAATATGAAATTATTGAGACGCGTGAATTAGTTATCGCTTTATTCGCTGCGAGTGCAAAAAGTATATATTCTGGAACATATAATCGACGATAATTATTAACAGATTAAAATGAAAAATTAATTAACTCCGTTGCAATTTTATCCATATGTGCGAGTAAATTACTCTCGTCGGCATCGCGTTCAGCGTATGAAGCGCCGCGATCACGCATATTAACGCAAAATACAAAATTGCTTTGTTTTTTGTTTTTTTTCACCAGAATCTCGATAATACGGAAAATAAAAACAAATCAGAAGATGGTATGCACATACACACACGCGTTTGCGTATTTCACACAAATTTGAATTAATTTTGTAAACACACATAACTGTTTTTTTTTTTTTTGACACACTTACCATATGTGAACCATGAAAATGCGAAACACATCCACAACAAAAGTTTAGTTTGCATTGTTCTCTCCTTAACTCAACGTAGTCGCTATTGCAGTCCGCCGGTGACTGTTTTAATCACAGCAGAAAGAAATATGTTATCGTCATTTTTATCGTACGCGTTATCGGATATCGGCCACTAATCTATGTGTACTGACACTAATTAAGTTAACCGTAATAATGAAGTTGCAGACTTTATAATATCAATGACATTTTTTCATGACGTATTTGATCAGTGGAAAATTAAATTTTAATTGCATTGCAATTTTTTAAAAATATTAATATTACACTGATATCTTGTTACGCATTAAATTTTGCAAATAAATGTACAATAATTAATTAGATAAGATATGTAAAAAGAAAACATTCAGATTTTAAAGTCAATGCCAGCCAATGTACATATATAGTTGATCGTATAATTTATTTATCAATTTGTTGATATATTTCGATCCTGTTGTTTTATCAATAATTGACGATAAAATCAAAGCATTATGAACTAAAAAAAATTGGAAAGCAAAAAATTCTTTTACACACTGTGTAAAAGAATCAATTCATTTAGATCAAAAACAATTAAAATACTATCGACTCCACTGATTTATCTTCACAGCGTACGATTACAAATAACACTGCTAGCGTATCAATACGTTTGATAGTGATATAGTTTGTAATTGTAACGGTGTGAAGTTTCAAAACAAAATAAGATCGAAACGACGTTTGAATTACGTCAATGAATTGATATAAATACGTACATCACTTGTGTATTGACTCGCATTGATCTTGAAACCTGAATATTATACGATATTTGTTAAAATCATTACTATAAAAAAATAAAATATTATATATACTTATATAAAGATAATATATCGCGAGTTGTATTCACGATATATTCTAATTGTGAATGACGAGATGCGAATAACGAGAGATTTAAATTCAGCGATGGAAGGAGAGGAAGAGAATGACAGAAAGAGACAAAAGACTGTGAAGGAAACAGAGAGAAAACGCTGCTAAAGGGTGATGGTAAACAAGAGGTTGTATAGGGTCTGATAGGAGAGAGCCGTCATTATCCAAATCTCGTGTTAGACCAACCCTGCAACACGCAACTCTTGTGTACAATCTCCAACCAGTGTGGCCGACGAACCCAGCGAGAAACCCTGAACTGTTGTTTATCGCGAAATCGCGCTCGATAGCATTCTCTCGAAAACCGCGTCGCGATTCGTACATTCGCCGGTCGCATCGAACGTACTGTCCGGTTTAATGCCTCGGTTCGGTTCGGGGCGGTAGCTGGTGAGCTAACAACGACCCCGACAAGCTCGTAATTTAGTCCGCTCCCAAGCCCAGACCGCAAACGCACCCTTTCTTTTTCGACCCGCGAGCTACGTTCGCCGCGATACGTAGGAACGTCAAGAGAGAGAGAGAGAGAGAGAGAGAGAGAGAGAGAGAGAGAGAGAGAGAGAGAGAGAGAGAGAGAGAGAGAGAGAGCGGGACAAATCAGATTTATCTACGAGCGCCTATTAGCCGGTTGTATCAGAGGCAAATGGTAACAATACGAAATCCGCGCGCGCCAAACGAGCGATAATATCCTGGGTGAAAAGCAGCTCAGAACCGCGCATGGGAAACGAGAGAGAGTAGGTATGCGCGTAGGTATGCTTTTGATGTATCGATGCTTTATCGCAATCACGGGTAATTAGTAACGCATCAGAGAGAGAGAGAGAATGGGGAGATAAATAAATAGCCCAACAGAGCTGATTGCAATCCACCGCTCCGCGTTTGCTGCGGAATTACTGCGGCGAAACGCCCCGTGTTACACGTTTATGATGTATTGAATCGTCTAAAAGAAACAAAGTACACAACTTGCGAAATGAAAAATTTATACAAAAAGATGCTTGTATAGAAATTATACAAAACAATCATCCTATGTATTATGCACGTTTCACACATACGCGTTAATAAAAAATCAAATATATTAATAATTTACTAACGCGTCGTTCAGATCTAAAACATATCATTGCATCACTATAATATAATTTTTAATATTGTATCTAATTTTTTATCGTACAGTTACACGTTTTTTCATCAGTTTCAGTTATAATTACTTATTTTTCTTTTTTTTTTTTTTATCTGAATCATCTTCGCAAATTGTTTCTGTAACATTCTATAGAGCGGCACACAAACGAGCATTTAATGCAATCGTGGGCCGATACATCGAGACAAAACCAACGATGAGATGCGTGCTCGACGAAATTTAAAATTCCCCGCTGATCTTTCAGCTTGTCCCGAAGTGACATTTCTCTCTCTCTCTCTCTCTTTCTCACACACATTTTTCCTTTTTCTTTTCATGCGATCTTACTACCCAGCGTGGTTTCTTTCTTTCTATCTCTTTTTCTTTCACGACTACTTCTTCGATCGTCCGCTCCTGCCTCCACCACGCCCCACGTCGAGTTGCCTCTCTCTCTTCCTCCGACCTGGCGTTCCTTCTAGGTCGAGAGACGTGCCACCTCTTCTCCATTTCTCGCAGCCGCATCGCGGAATCATTCTCGATGGAACCGTGGATAATGTTAAGGATAATGATAAGGAATGCTACCTGCGACCAATGCTCGCAATCGCGCACGAGGACGCGAGGAGAGTTTGTATTTTGTGCGGCTATTATATATATTCACATATACACACGTGCACGCGCATACACATATACATATATGCGCACACACGGAAAGCAAGTACAATTTTGCACAGCTACAGTATCGCTGTATCTCAGCAACAACCGCGTAGTCATCGATTCTCGTTTGCACACCGCGCGAGACCGCATTCGTTTATTAATTTATCGCGCGCGTTGCTTATTACGATTTTGACATCCGACCGACGATTTATCGTTAAACGAGCGAATTTATTCAACACCTACGACTGATATATAAATCATCACCGGTTTCGCCGGTGTGAATGTTGCAACGCACACATGATCAGTAAAAGCCATAAGCGAGAAAAATTTCGTCGAGATCATCAAGATTTCCATGATTCTCTCATTTCTTCTCTTCTCTGTGTGAGTTTAAAAAAATATCATTCCTGTAACAGAGAGTTACGCGTATGCAAATTATAACATAACGTCGTTCGCGCTTATCTCGTCATTTATTATGCAAGTTTTTTTGTTTGCTAATTCTTTTTAATGGAAATAATTTGGTAAAAAGATCGGAGAAAGGAGGAATTAGCTTATTATATCTGCTAATGCGCTGGAATACACTTGCAGCTGCCAGGCGAAGACGACCTTGGCAAAGTAGCGAATTCACGGTTCTATTCATTCGCTCCCTTCTAGAAGCACCGTTCCACGTCACGGAAAGAGGAGGAAGATAACCTTGACTGCAATGCAGCCAGTTAAAGGGCCGCTCAAGGTCTACCAGACGGTATCCCGAGTCTGGTCGCAGCAACGCTTCGCCAAATGAAGACTACTCTGGTAGAGAGAAACCTTTTCCACTTCCATCACACACACACACACACATGCACGCACGCACGCGCGCGCGCAAAACGCCATGATCACGCCGAGCGCGCGTTCTATACTCGGAAAATTACATAGTCTGCCACTGAAATACCAGACTACGTCTCAAATGCGCCGCGCGCGCACTTCATTCGTAATGGTCTGTGAAACGCAGAAGACGAACAGCTGACATTAATAGACATTCTTAAATAAGCGCGCGCGGATGTGAATTTTCTCTTTCTAAAATTATTTAAATGTAGTATATTCAAAGATGGTGTTTAAATCAAAGCGCATCTCGTTACTACATTTATGCATTATTTGCGCGTTATAAGTCACGTCTTCGAATGTGCTTCTTCGAAGAGAAAGTGCGCAGGAAGACCGCGATAATGCGACATATATATCACAAAGATGACTAATGCCTCTTAAGAAAGCAAAGCGTTAAACGTGTACTTAAATATAATATATTATATTTATAATATATGTATATCTTCTTAACTTCTTACTTCACTTGCACACACACACACACACACACACACAATAAATATATCGTCGGTCGAGAAAGTTTCGCCATTTTTTAAAATAATCCTAGCTATATTACTCAGCAAAATAAAACCTATCAAATCAAAAAACTTAAATTATCGCAACGTCATACAAAAAAAAAAAAAAAACAGTGACCGTCATCTTTCTTTTTTTCTTTGTCAAGCATATTTTACACACGTCATTGATATTGTTCGCTTTTGTGGTCCCTTTGAAATTCATGCCTAATAAATATATCGCCGATACTACGCAACCGAAACGGACACGCGGCGGGAATAAGAAAACGTGTCGGTTCCAATGTCGGTCTCGCTCCGAAAGTTAACTCTCTCGCACAATATTCGCTCGTCTCGTACAACCTTAACCCCCGGCCCGAAGTGGTGAATTTTTTATACGATTTGCCATTTCCATCTGTGCGCGCGAGGCAGCCGCGCTTGCCGTCTCAACGTTCCCGAATGCTTTTCTCGGTCGGCGCGAAGTGCGAATGACATCCACTCAAGCTGTAGTGGTGCGGTTCGGAGTGTGCGGTTCTTTTCTTTTTCTTTTCTTTCGAAAGGCCGAAATTGGGTTTTGCTGCGAGGCCTTTCCCTAGGCTTCTCTGTTGCAAAGTAGGCCCGCACACGCATGTCGTCTCCAAGAAAATTATGTCAAGCCGTTGGCCGACGCCGTTAACGATCAACACTTCTCAGCGACAGCTCGTTCTTTTTTTTTTTGTTTTTTTTCATTAATGAAGAAGACGAGCGCCTCGACTTAACTGCGTTTCGCAGTAAATCATTCGTCCTTGACGAAGCGTGCGAGCGCGAAAATAATCGCTCGCGTATTCTTCGAAGTTCACCGGTCGTCGAAAAAGTAGCGCAGTTCTGTAGGCGATGCTTAAGATAACACGTTCCAATTAGAATATCTGAGATATCTCTCCCGTCCGTTGCGCGGAATTCTCATTACCTCGAGCGCTCAGACGACGCGTAATATAATTTCAGGATAGTGGGAGTGAGCGGTGAGATCGTTGGATTTTTTTTTTCTTCCGCGACGCTTAATTAAGTTTATTTCTTGAATAAATATTGAACACTTTCTTACAAGACGTA